ATATATATATATATATATATATATATATATATATATATATATATATATATATATATATATATATATATATATATATATATATATATATATATATATATATATATATATATATATATATATATATATATATATATATATATATATATATATATATATATATATATATATATATATATATATATATATATATATATATATATATATATATATATATATATATATATATATATATATATATATATATATATATATATATATATATATATATATATATATATATATATATATATATATATATATATATATATATATATATATATATATATATATATATATATATATATATATATATATATATATATATATATATATATATATATATATATATATATATATATATATATATATATATATATATATATATATATATATATATATATATATATATATATATATATATATATATATATATATATATATATATTTATTTATTTACTTATTTACTTACAGCATTGCGTCACCATGAATGAGTCAGCCTTTTTGGTTTCAGAATATAAAAAAAAAAAAAAAGCCTTTATACGTTTTTATTTTCTGGTGATTTTATTTTTTGTTATTCAAAATAAACAATGTAAATCAAATCATTTTTGAATTTAGCTTTTTTTGTTTTTCACCATAAAAAAGAAAAAAGTCTTGTACTTCAATATTTGTTTTTTAATTTTAAAACGAAAATCAAAAAACAGCTCGTTTTCTATATCCGTTTCTAAAATGAAAAACCAATGACCAAAAGACACACGGACCCTTTATGAATCAAATAACATACAGTCTCATCACTAATGTGTCGACATGTTGTTTGAAAAAAAAAAAAAACTAAATGTAAAAAAGAAATACCACAACGCAGCAAGAACAGTTTCTCTCCGAAGCATCAGTGACTTGCTGATTATCCAACATTATCCAACCCCTTCGCCTCATACACATTTGTTGGGTTCCACACACAACGATGCACCTAAACATCTTGAAGACGAATATCTTACGGTTATTTCATATAATATACATACTTTAACAAATAGACATACTTTTGAAAGCTATGGGCACAAAGAGGAATAACTAGCTACCCCCTTGTCCTTAAAAAAAGTGCAATCCGAACCCAGTTTCTCTCATCCAGCACCACTCAATAATACCTTGTATGGCATGTACCATCTCCATACTGCAGAAATCAGCTCTCTTTTAATGCATCATCCGAGTATTGATTGCCTGACGCAAACATATAGGAAGATTGAGAAATATTAAAAACACTAACAGAAAGAACGTGACTGAGCCCTTCCTCTTATACTCGTTGAGTCTCATCTTCGAGAAGAAATTTTAAGGAGTTTCTGTACATATTGGATGGGCAGAAGAAGAGGAGGGGCATCAGTCGAGAAGGTGTTTCCGAGAGCCCACTCGTGAACGGTTGGAGCGGCGAATGTCAAACTTTGAGTCTTTGCACCTCTGGCAGATGTACGTTTCGGGGACGTTGGACTTGCGGATTTTGGCACATGAAAGATGGATCCACGTATTGCACTGGTTGCATTCGATCATCGCCCGGCCGGCAAATGGCTTCATGCAGAAACATGTCACTAGGTCCCAGGAGTCATCATCTGTAAAGAGAGACAGACAATTTTAATATATACACAGGGTTCGAAAATGCAACCACCAGTGATATCTATGCAACTTCAAAATATATATAGTGCATAAAACTGTTGTGTGAGACCAGTTTTTACTGCAAAATGTTCACCACATGCGCAGATTCGGAAGACATTCACGCAGAATGCATTTCTAAGCTCTTTGTCTGCACATGAAACGCGAAACGCAGCGCTCAGGAATGGTTTAAAACAGTTGTCATGTCAAACTGCTGCAGTAAACAAAGCCAATTTTGTAATGCTTGCCCCGCCTTCGCGCTCTTCTTATTGGCCCACCACTGAAATATCAGCTGTCAATCACTCAGTCAATGCCTCCTGCCTTGGGATGACAGAGAGAGCTACTACCGCGAGAAAATGTGAAGCGCTGAAGATGAGAATGAAGATAACACTGACAGATTTTGTTTTAGAAACCATGACATCTAAAGTTACAAATAATGACACATCTTACTAGTGATCAAGTGCTGAATGTTAATCCACCGTCTACACTTTTCGAAGAGTGGGAAAAAAGACTTCAGTTGGCTACAAGTCCGCAATGAAAAGTCTGTGGGATGAACTTTTCAGGTAACTGTTTGCCACATCTATCATGAGAGCTTCTGTTTAATCCTTCATATAATCGCCAGATGCTGTACGCCGTGCAAGTGGCAGCTATATGTCAAATTTAACACCACGTACACTATCACAAACGGGCTTGCACAGAGTAAACTAGCATCGCTACTCATTAAAAGACCGGTATTGCTATTAACATGACGTATCCACATAATAAGGCACAGTATATGTCAAAAGCATCAGTGCAATATCAGACATCACCCGTGAGAACAGCACAGCTATACCGTTAACAGATTCATTCATGTCAGGCAGTGCGTGCAGGGCAGGTGAACGGTCCTAGTATGCTTTGGTCACTCAGTTATGTTATAAAATCTATTTTCTTGAGAAAACGGGATTTCGTTGAGACATATTTTTCTTACGCTTGCTTGCATATATATATATTTTTTGCTTGTTAGTTTGATTAGTGTTGATTTCAAATGCAATAAATATGTTTGTATAAAACTTGTAGTAACGTTGCTTATAATTGGTGGGTGCGACTAAATTTTGTCTGATGCGCCTAAATTTTTAAAGTTAGGAGCACCGGTGCTACTAAGCAAAAAGGTTAATTTCGAGCCCTGCATACAGGATTATAATGTACTTTTCTGAAGGTTTACAATTTAACCTCCAAATGCAATCTACATTTAACAATGCCAATCTCTATAGGAAAACAATTGCCTTCGAAAACATACTGCAAACTGCCCGTGGGCATGTGTTATGCTCCTTTTCATAACAAGCAGGAGACTCTGATTAGTTTATTCTCAAAACACACCAATAACTCATTAAGAGAATAAGCTCAACCCTGTTAGACCATGTGCCGCGGCGCAGAGCAGATTTTTCCATCCTTAAAATAGCAAAAGTGGGTTCTGACATGCCCTTAATGCTTTTTGCGCCCTGCACTTTGGACTTTGTGTATGGATCATCAAAATAGAGCCTATACAGTTCCAATCTATTCAACTACATTTGATGTAAAACTTCAGAGAAAGCAGTGGTTACTGTATACATCACAACAGGGCTGAACAATATATCATTTGAGCATCGATAGCGCAATGCATGTATCTGGAACAGTCACATTGCAGTTTATTAAAGATCAAAAGAATAATTTTATCTTTTATAAACATATTTTTTTTAATTTTCAATGATGACCATGTTATTTTACGTTTGATTGTTCAATTTCTGTACTTGCATTTACAGTTACTGTTAGACTGCCCAGAAAACCTTAAAGCACTGTTTGTTTGTTTATTTATTTTTGTTAGTAATTTATTATAATTAATTCATGGAGATGCACTGCATGGAAAATACTTGATCGTCCCAGTCAATCTAAATTGATGAAATCTTTCCAAATAGAGTTATTCAAATCATCTAAAATTGTATTCATTTCGCAATAAATAAAAAATGTATAAAAACAAAATATTGCAATGTAAGATTTTTCCAATATCATGCTGCCCTATATCTACTATATATCTACTAAAGTCCCAAGAGAAGGTGATGGCAATCTGATTTCTACAAAAGAAATTAATCTAAAAATGCCTACCTGAATCAACCATGATGTCCTCATCATCAGCTGACCCGTCCTCATCTCTAAATACCACTTGCTTTCCCTGACGGACCACAGTTCTTTTAGCAGAAAAACTTTCTTCCTTCAACACCATGGCTTCTCGCTCAAGTTTTGAGGGTTTCTTGACATCCTCAAACTCTTGATCTGAACTTTTAGAGCCACCCCAGCATGAATGCTCAATGTCAGGTTCCTCTTTACACACTGCAGAGCTCTGTGAACTTGAGACAGGTTTTGAACATGTGTGTGCAGGATGGTCAAACCCAGTGCTGGGTACAGGGATGCTAATGTAATCTTCTGGTTCTTCTTTGATGGAACGTCCAAGACTGGAGAACTCCCCTTCAACTCTAGGAGGAGTAAATGGGGCAAAGTTTCTAAAATCCTCATCCTTACACTTCCTTAGCTTCTTCTTCTTCTTTACCTTGTCGGCTTTTTTACGACCCTCAAGAAGAAGACCTGCTGACTTGGGGCGCTTCTGGGGCTCTGAATCCTCGCTCGTGGGTCTCTTAAATCCAGCAAAGCTCTTGCGGTTTTTGGGTGGGGGCTCGTCCGGAGAAGACAGACTGCAGCTCAGCTGCTGGTTGTCCCATCCATCGCTGTCTGCAGTGCTGCCGGTGCTGTTAGGAGGACTGGAGCTGTTCCTCAAGTGTGCCTCCTGTGGACAGTAATGAAAAAAGATGATTTTACCCAAGATCACATAGCATTCTTAAACTGAGGCATCAGGTTAAAGTCTGAATGAGCGGAATAACTTCAAAGCATATATCAGTAAATCTTATGATGAAATTAATCAACATAAAATCATCCACATCCATAAATCCTTTCGGCTATTCAGCAAAATTTGTAATGACAAGAACACATTGGTGCAAGATGATAATGCCTACATACAACAAATTTATATCTCCAAAGTGGTACATTTCTATTATACAGTCTGACAAACCAAAAAAATAAATAAATAATGCCTTTAGGTGGGTCAGATAAAAGTCAAACACAAACTTATACATACCATTCAAACTTGCTCAAGTCTAAGGTAGGTTGATTGCCCAAAAGTAAAAAAATAAATAGATAAACAAATAAATAAACCATGATTATGCAAGCTTGAGTAGTGTGCAGGACTGTTTGAAGTAATGTAATGAAAATGTTAAAGTGAAAATCCTAACAGATCTTTATTAGATCAACACAAGTTCATCTGATGAGGGAAAGATCACTAAAAAGCCCAACAAATAACTGCAGGACCAGAGTGTAGTTGGGTTGTCACGATACTGGAATTTGATACCAATCGATACAGAAATTCTAAAAACGCCCATTCCCCACTGACATTTGAGCGTTGTTAAGTGCGTTCTTACACAGCACTGATTTGCTATTGTGTTTAAGTGCTCAACAGAAATGACTGTGATTGGCCGTGAAGGTCATCAGTTCACCGAACTAACCGCTAGACATGGGATGACAACCGTTTTCAAGATATAACGCGGTTTGGAAAAGTCAAGGTTTTAAAACCACCAAATTTTCTGCTATACCGTTCCTAGACTATGTTCCTAACACTATGGCAAATCAGTGCTGTTTTTTTTTCCTTTTTTTTTTTTTTTTTTTAATTAAATATTTAAAAATTAAAAGAAATATTTTTAGGGCTTTTTCACCTTTATTATGACAGGACAGTAGAGAATTCAGACAGGAAAGCATTGGGAGCAGAGAGAGAGAGAGGGGAAGGATCGGCAAAGGACCTCGAGCCGGGGATCGAACTTGAATCGCCGTGAGCACTTTGGTGCTATATGTCAGCACGCAGTACCACAAGGCTACTGGTGCCGACATCAGTGCTTTTTAAGAACGCGTTCAAAAGCGCTCAAAAGTTAATGGAAATTGGAAATTTTAAAAAATTTCATTATCGATTGGTACCGAATTCCATTATCATAACAACCCAAGAGTAAAGTGAAGAACATTATTAGCAATACTAATAGAACATACACAAGACACTGACTACTTAAAATAAACAAAAACTTTCACAGATCAAATTTGAACAAAGTTCAGTGCTACAGTACCACTTAAGAAAAACATTAATTACAGGTCATCGGAACTGCGAGCGCGTGCACAATCAAACTCAACTCAAAAGTGACTGCTTGCTGTAAAAAAAAATAAATAAATAAGGCACACAAATGGCAGGTTTATGAACTTCTGTTGTAAAGCCTCCCCCTCGTTTTGATGTCAAAACATAATCAGCTTTCTCGGTCACGACTAATGAGCTCAGAAACACATGGATCCCACATCAATGGTGGATTATTTTGGATCATTTCTCACGGGTCCGTCTCTGTCTACCCTTTTCTTTATATCCTCATTTACTGCTCGTTCCTTTGTTATTAAAGTTATCATTATGTGTGCGCTATGAAGGGCTATGTCTCCTTTGTGCTGAGCAGCCTGCAAAAACAAAGCAAGGAGTAAGCAATTAAAATAAAAAGAATATAAATGTAAGACTCAAAATTAGAGGAACTAGAGAATCAAATAATCTTTCTGAATAAACTCCATCTATAAGCTGTAAGGCAGTGAAGACATGCGGTAGCAGTTCCAAAACATAGTGACCTGCCTAAACATAATTTTACATGGGTATCTGTTGATGTGAATGCTGGTCTGAAAGGTGCTGGCATTTAAAATATCCTCACAAACAAAATGTACCCAGAATGCACTGATTGAGCTTGTGGTTCAATGAAGGTTGAATCAATAATAGAAACAAAGTCTAAAGTGGGACATTTATGCTAAACCTCATGCTTTTAGAAGTTAGTGTCCAATGCTCAGAAAACAGACTTGGAAAAAAAGCAACTATACCTGTTTGTTATTGTTTGACTTGCAACAAAAAAAGTTAATAAAACATGCTTATCTCAATATGTTTGAAGTTCCAATGCTTTATATTTGCTTACATCTTCCAGAGTCCACCATGGTAGTGTGATATTATTCATCCACACTGACTATTTGGCACCCAAATCTGACAATCACCAAATATGCGTTAATTTTGATCAACATGCCAGCTTCAACATCTAGCCATGCACTTTATGTTAGCATATAGAATGCTCCATTAAGGCCAATTTACATTTCTGCATTGAGTGAAAGCAGTAGATCCAGCGTAGCCTTTGCCCTTTGCCGTACCCTAACAGGAGCCTCTCAAAAAAATGTAACAACAGGTTGTGACAATTAGGAGCACAAGATCTGTTATTGGCTGGCTTGGTATAGCGGTGACAAGTGTTGATGGGGCCCGAAAGCCATGAGAGCATAGCGAGGCTGGAAATTCACAGGGTTTTGCGCTCCTCAGGAATGTACCATGAACAAACACGTCAACGTTTTGGGGATTTCAACAACAGCTACAAAGCATCAATGGTAGTTATATCCACATCTAGACTCGTGGAATGTTCTTCATGTCTCACGTTAAGATAAAAACATTCATGAGTGATGAAGAACATCAAGGGAGTAATTTAGGCTAATTGAAGTGATGCGAGTCATGTGGAGGAGCTCCATATGTACACTTTTGTTTTCAGGTTTACCTTATGATTTAAGTTGTTGCCTGTCTACTGCTGCGTTCACACCAGACGCAGAACTCGCAACAAGCGCGAGTGATTTACATGTTAAGTCAATGCAAACGCACGAATAGACATCCTGCGGTGCGAATGGCGCAGAGCGAATTGCGCGCTGCGAATAGCAAGATACGGGTGAGGCGAATTGAGCGTTTGCGCGTTTGACGCGCTTGACGAAAGATTTGCACAAATCTCTCGAGTTCGAAAATCTGAACTTCAGCAGACATTCACGCCGAGTTAACAAATCAGAAGCTTGCTCTTGTGGGGGCGTGATTGTGACGTAGAACCTGTTGATGGTGTCCCGGGGCAAATCCTCTAGTCGACACCGACAACAAGTCATCAAACTGGGCTTGGCTCAGTCAGAGGCACCGCTGAAAGTCTCCGTCATGCAGGTTCACCTCTGAAACGTATCAACGCTGTTTTTCAGTCTCCATAAAGCACATTAACACTGTTATTTTCTTAATAAATCCATGTTAGCCATTTAGCTATGAACCTAGAGTCACCGGGCAGACAGAAGCCCTGCCAATCACGCAAATCCGCGCCTGTTTTTAAGTGAATTTGACACGCGATTGAAGCGGATTTGACGGGAATGAAGCGGCAATTTACGCGCGAATAGCGCGATTTATTCGCGCGTTCCGCGTCTGGTGGGAACACAGCATATCAGATCCTACCTCTGAATGAACGAGTTTGAGCTACTTGTACAGTAAGATAGCATTAAAAATGCCCGCGAAGAAACTCGACACAGAGGGACATAAAAACCCACAGCCAGCTAGCGTTTCAGAAGTGATATTGCAGAGCGAAACAAACAGAATGCAGAAGTATAAATGCACGACTCGGTGCAAGGCATGTGCCATGGGTAACTGCGATAACTGGAGGCAGAAGTATTATGCCCCATTTTCAAAGGGCATCAGTGTCAACGTTTCCCACTCACTTTTAATGGGTGATGTCATTGCTGAACTGAATTATGGATACATCTGTGCCACTTCAGCGGCGTATCTGGGAATTTCTCAACTTTAAGCGCCAACAGAAACCCTGATCGTTTTATGCAAATACCCCAGCTCAGACAGTAGCCGACTGGGGAATAATTTCATTGGCTGCGACGATTGTGTCAGCTCCAACTTCAGACATGCCTTCTGTCAAGCATTGACGCTGAAGCCCTATGTGAATCTGGTAGGGATGTAACGGTATCAAAATTTCACGATACGGTAATACCTCGGTATGGATGGTACGGTATTTATTGAATCATTTAAAGGAAAACCAAAACCATTGAAGAGACTCAAAAAAGTGTTAGAATGTTCAGGTTACCTCAACACTGAACAGATCAATGACATACAAATTATCTATCTGTAAACTTTTAAACAGGAACTTAAATAGTTCAATTTTAATAACAAAAAAATATTAAACCATGTAAAAAAAAACACCACTCGAAAGGACAAGACATGAGTGAGATAGAGGTCTCTTGGTGGTACAAGTCAATGTCTCCATCAATCTGAGCAGTGTGCTGTGTTCTGCTGTCACCTTGACTAAAAGAATCCCCATCATGTTAGTCCTATTCCTCGACTTGTATTTCAGCACAGTCTGGCAGTGCCTGCATACCCTTTTTTCTGTCACCTTTTCTTCTTTCTTGTTTCCTTTCAGAGAGAAACTGAAATGCTTCCACACATCTGATTTAAAACCCGCTTAAGGTTCGACCATTTTTAGCTCTTTTTCTTTGCAGCACGCTCCATTTCTGCATTACTGGATTTGTAGCGACAACAGACCGCAAAGGATGATGGCCACGCCTGGGCTGATGAAAATTGTAGTTTCCGCTACCTCCCATTCGCCTGAGCAAACTTTTCACCAAAAGACCTATGATTTTATTGAGTCACAACCACGGTAATATTGAAAGAAATTGTTATTGCGGTATAACGGTATTTACAATATTGTTACATCCCTAGAATCTGGCGTAGCTCAGCCTTTAAATCCCACACTTTTCCAGCATAAACTTAATGAAAGACCAAAAGACCTATGATTTTATTGAGTCACAACCACGGTAATATTGAAAGAAATTGCTATTGTGGTATAACGGTATTTACAATATTGTTACATCCCTAGAATCTGGCGTAGCTCAGCCTTTAAATCCCACACTTTTCCAGCATAAACTTAATGAAAGACCAGCAAAAAAACTCAACACGATGTAACATTAAACCCCACCACAAACTAGCATTTTGGTTACTGCAGAGCAACACAGACAGAATGCACAAGTATAAACGCAGGGGATGCACCATGGGGTAAGATGATCACTCGACACTGATGTTAAATTGGGCTTTAGAAGGCAGCAATAAAAGCAAGGCAGCTCACTAGGTTTTGGAACACTTGGAACTAATTTCAGCCTTCATGCATCTCCCTACAACAGAGTTTCCTCGATTTAGCCTCCATCCATTTGAAGGATCCATTAAAGGGGAAGACCTGAAAGCGAAGTGTTTGTGGATGCGCACACACTGCTGTTGTGAAGAATGGCACAGGGTCTGAAATGAGAATGGAAGAGACTGGAGTGGCCCTCTTACCCTGGGAGGGGGGGCTGAGTTTTTTTGGAGGGGGGTTGTCTCTCAGCGGCCGTGACATAAGAGTCACCACCATTTCTGTGGATCAAACAAGAGCGTCAGCAGCAAAGCAGCTCAAAAGGGGTGTGCTACCAACAGAAAGCAAACAAAACTCCCACAAACACCCGGTGCTACACCACTGCCAAGGATAAGGAACCTCAGGAGGACGGAAGTGTCAGATTGTTGTCGAGCGATCTTGAGGAAAGATAGGCCACTTCACCCTGCAACACTAACAGCACTTTCTATCAAATGTTCAAGCACAGTGAGTACCATTTTTAGCACAATCCCCTTGCACTTCCGTCACTAAGACAAGATAGTACTCACCTCCTGTGGATATGGAATATAACCAGCATATGCGAGCACAAAAGTGCAGAACTTGTTGAAATCTTCCACAGTCCTTTTCCGCTTAAATGTCGAACTGTAGCCCTGCAATAAAAACAGCACCATAAATGACAACAAACTAGCCATTTCACCAGATTTAAAAATTTTAAAGTGATTATCACCACATTTAGTATTATATTAGGTCCAAGCTGACTGCAAATGTTAAAGGCAGCCAATAAGAACTCAAGCAATAAAGGGTCACGAAACACCAAAACACATTTTTTGAGCTGTTGACAGTCATGTATGTGTCCCACGCTGCTAAAAACACAATTAGGACACATATATTTCACATAACAAGTGAAAATTGTTAGTTTTTGCATTTTTTCCGAGCATATTTGTTCTTCGGTTTGAAACGAATTTTTGAAGCTGCGTTACGCTGATTAGATCTTTGCGTGTTTTCCAGCATGGAGACTGGATGTCTACTGGTGAGTACATCGTGACGTCTCTGAGTGTGCTGCATTAATTCACGAGAAAGACTTGGTTCAAACCAATCTGCGCACTCTATTGTGTATGAGGTTTGTTGTTTGCTTTATTTATAGAGCACATTTAAAAACAACAGGTGTTGACCAAAGTGCTTTACAAAACGACCAGCATAAAAAATCTATACTTGTATATAAAAATAAGAAAAATATATAAAACATATAAAAATTAATTAATTGCAATTAAAAAGCAAGAGACAGAAGGTGATTTTTTAGATGAGACTTAAAATCACCAAGGGAAGAACATGACCTGATATGTAAAGGCAGACCATTCCACAGACCAGGGGGGGGCAGAAAAAGCCCTGTCACCTCTAGATTTCAACCGTGTTTTGGGACAACTAGCTGAAACTTGTTTTCCAGCCTGATTGGCCTCAATGAAGTATGCCAGTGAAGAAGCTCACTGATGTAAATAGGTGCCAGACCATTCAAACTTTTAGAAACAAGTAGCAATAACTTATATTGAATCCTAAATTGGACTGGGAGCCAGTGAATACATGATAATACTGGTGAGATACAAGAAAGTTTTTGTTGTCCCAGTTAAAAGCCTATAGCAGCAATTGATGCCTGCAAAACCCCTGAATACAGAGAGTTACAGTAGTCCAATCTGTACATAATAAAAACATTGATGATGGTTTCCAACTCTTTAGAAGACTGAAAAGGCTTCGATTTGGCAATGTTCCTTAATTGATAGAAAAAGATTCAAAGTAAATCGGCACACTGCCACTTTAGCTCTCAAAAATTTTTTAATGTCAATATTACATAGTAATATTGACATTAAAAATTTTTTGAGAGCTAAAGTGGCAGTGTGCCGATTTACTTTGAATCTTTTGCTACTTATGTTTGTTTTTGATCGTGTACCTGCCTTCAAGATTTTCTAGATGTGCGCACATTTCTGTTTTTTGCCTTAATTGATAGAAAACACTTTTGATGACTGAATTTATTTGCTTGTCGAACTTTAACACAGTGTCATAAGTAACTCCAAGATTTTTTGCGTGACTGTGGAACTTAGGCTCAAACGAACCTAATTGATTAATTGTAGATTCACAGACACTCGGAGGGCCAAACACTAGTACTTCAGTTTTTGATTCATTCAAGTGTAAAAAATTACCAGCTAGTTATTCTTTAATCTCGTTAAAACAGGTAAAAAAAGGACTGTAAAACAGAGTTTTCTCCCATTTTTATGGGCATATAAAGATGGTAGCTTACATTATGCTTCTTACAAATAGCAGCCAAGGGAAGCATTTGGATGGAGAAAAGAGCTGGGCCCAAAATTGAGCCTTGGGGGACACCACACTCCATATGTACAGATGAGGAAGAAAAATTTCCCAATTCAATAAAAAAGGTTTTCTCTAAGAGATAAGAACTAAACCAATTCAAAACATTTCCTTGAATCCCAGCCCACAATCTTAAACGCTCAATCAAAATATTGTGGTGCAACTTCATTAACATGCATGATCGCTTCATAGACTGTTTTTACCTGTTACAGTGTTCAGACGGCATGAAGACGCCATGTTGTGTTGTCAAAATAAGTGGAAGAACAAAAGTTGTTTAGAGACATGGGTCATCTGTGTTGTGTTTATAAATGTGCTGCAACAAAGTTTTTCATTTCCTCGCTATGAGAGCGCAGCTGGACTCACGTGTGGAATACAGTGCACGCAACATTTTGTACCCGAGAGCTTTATGCATCTGGAAATGGTGAAATCCAGATTTGCTGCTAATCTTCTTTTTAACAAGACGCAGTTCCAGTTGGTGTTGATTTTCCTGTCTCTACAGATTTGGTTAGTGAGTGATCAATGCTCTTTGTCTATGTTTATTGAAATGGCAAAGTTAGTTTGTATCGTCAGCAGTACTCTTTCAGTTTTTAAAAGACATACCTTAGTCAAAATGATTTAGTTACCAAGTTTGAAGTACTTTAATAACACTAAAATATTATGGACTGAAAGATTTGCTGTAAATGCTGCTCTCTGAATGCAAACACCTTAAACAATAACAGTCGTGTTGGATTTTCACCGCATTTTGTGACAGGATAGTCTATACACACACGCTTTCTGAAGCTACCTGCAGAGTGTATCGAAGTTACCGAGAAATGTGGAGGTTTTTGATCTCCTATTCGTCATGTGGTAACAAACATTCCATTAAAACTACACTCTTCCAGCAGTTCCTCCATTCAAATATCTTGTTTGTCACAGGTGGCATGCATGACATGTTTCTGACTGAAAGTGGCAAACTCCAGTTCAAGTCCACAAATTTAAAATTTGGCAAATAATTCGATTACTAATGTCCATGTAAATGCAGTCACTGTCTTTCTCGCCTCTGTGATTGTTTTGCCTCTTTGAAAATCAGCGAGTGCTCAAACAAAAACTCCCATTTTTATGCAAAACCTTCCCTCTTTCCCTCCCCTAACACTCAGACCTAAACAGAGCTAGAATGCACTTTGTACGAACATAAGAAACACACACCACACCATGTTAAACCTAGTGCGTAAGTGTGAAATGGATGACTCAGGATTACATTTGTTGAAAATCTGCCCACAAACATCACCAACTGGATAAAAAAAACACTAATGACTGCTTTTAAACAGGTAATCCCACCCTAAACACACGCCATTGGTTGAGTCACTGATGCTGGGCTATTCATGATAAACAAACAATGTTTTGAAAGCATTACAGTCACGGTGTTTACAGTTATGGGGGAGAATCAACAAAGAACAGCTTACTGGTAATTGTCTAAGTACATAGCAGGCAACACCTAGGTTACACAAGTAAAATCCCATTAATTACCTCCAAAGGGTAACTGATTTTAATAATACCAGCTTAAGCTTTATAGAAAGATCTGCTGAGTGTAACTAGGCTGTTATATGATGCTATATGCTTCATCTTTTCATTTTAATTGATTTTTTTATATGCATATTTAACAGTGGAATTCCTGGATAAAAACAACGTAAGTTCTTATAGTGCTAAGTCATCTCCA